ATAATCACCGCCCGTCATCACCCACAACACTAGATGTCACTATTGGCGCGTTACAAACAACATAATGTGGTCCTCCGATAACCTCACTTGTCGGACAAAAAAGCATAAATACTTTTACATCACGCCTTCTGTGAGGCCGTGAATTGATTACACCTGAATCCCGGCCTGCAGCACACAATAGAAGAAAAAAAACAAGTGACGGCTGCTAATTTAACTTGTTAAAATAATACTTTAAACATTCAAATCCAAAATGTGTAGACATAAATTTTCGCCGCTGTCAAGAATCGAACCTAAAACATTCTAATTGTTCCGGATTACGCGACCAGACGTCCTAACTCCTCACCACGCCAAAATGTAAACGTCTTATCTACTAGCAAACCCATCTCGTGTACTTGTCTTTGTGTGTATTTCGTGGTCTTAAGGCTGCCGTTAAAGTAAACAGGACTGGGGCGTGAGGTCACATCCGAAGAGGTGCTAAGCGCGCGGTGACGGCGCATTGCTAACGCTAAAAAGTCGTCAGTTCGGTGTCCACTTCTAGTTCCTCGCGGAAGAGAAACAAGTAGAACGTGTTCGCGACACGAGATTAGATATCCCGGATAGGAAACTGGGGCCATTATTGAGACGCTCGCACATATCTTGAAATGTATTAAGTTCGCTACGGTAGCAGCTGATTATCTGATTGCTGGAAGAATGCAGGACACCTGGGCATTGTTATTCGTTATCTGTATATTTATTTATGACTGAGCTGTGATAGCTCAGTGTCCGGGCGCTCGCCTTTAATTCAGTTCGCTCGAGCAATCAAATAAAGTTCAAAAGTTCAATCCCCGACATTGATGATATTGTATTACATAAGCAGGCTATACGGGCCGTCTATGGCTTGGGTCCACGTGAGTCACTACGGCATATATTTAGGCAAATAAACGTTTTGACGCTCCCGTCGCTTTACATACTTGAGAACATCATGTATGTACGTAAGAATATCCACCTATTTACGAAAAAACGGCCGTGGTGACACTCTGGAAGTACCGAGGTTTAGATTGGCTAAAACCAGAAAGTCGTTTCGTGGAAGATGCATCAACTTTTATAATAAAATAGGTGACATCCACAAACAATTAAGTATAAACAATTTTAAATAATTTGTAAAAGCTACCTTAATGGCAAGGACATACCTACTAGAATATCCAAGAATACATTGAGGACAAGGATGTTTGGAAATGACTCTTGCTCTGCACTTGCAAGACCCCTGCCTGCTGCTGATTTTATACCTAAATAAGTGTGTATAATTGCATCAAAAAAAAATATATAACAAAAAGAACAAGACCGCAGAGTTTCTTGCCGGTTCTTCTCTGTGCAGGTCTAGTTTAGTGAACCGGTGGTAGATTTTTTTGTTGACGTTCAATAAGAGCTTAAGTTAGGCCTATATTGAATAAATATACTTTGACTTTGATGAAATTTTTAATTTTAAGGGCTGACTTATCAGGTGCTCAACGGCGAAAGAAAACATGGTGTGGAAACCGGCATGTTTTCTTTACATATTTCATTTACTTTTGAAATAACAACAAAAAAAAAATTCGAAGATACATGAATAACGCCAATCCGTGATACCCTCTGTATAGGGACCTTTGCCCAGCTGAGGGACATATAGCTGTATGTTTACTTACGTTACTTACCTTTTCTTTACTGTTTGTATATTTTGTTTGTGGTGTTGTTTGGTGGTACTTAACTAGAGCTTATCTATATCCATACTTTGTTTTTATTACCATCAAATAAAGTACATTTTCAACGTAATTGTAGTTGTACTGGCGGCGAAATCATAAATCTGTAGACCAACTGCCGGCGTTGAGTTCCTGGAGAGGAAAAGCGAGGCGGTCGTCTCTGCGACGAGGCGACGGTGCGTGACGCACGCAAATGGGTTCGCGATTAGTTCCAACTAATCGCATCGCCTCTATCATCGATTTAAACTTCGAACGAACAGAGTTCGGAATTTAAATAGCAAATACGCTGAGGCAACAAGAACAATGTAGATTTTTTTCGTTTTTTTTTTTTTTTTAATTGACAGTAATAGCATTGAGCAACAAGAGTCAAAACGGTTGCGGGCATTAAAATAGTTTTGATCATAACTGCGACTAGTTTAAACGAAGAGGCAAGGGAGGCTTCAACACGAACAAAACATATATTACATAACACGTGGGCGTCGATCGACCGATTAGCGTAAGACACGAAATGTAGCGGTAAGCGAAATAAAAAAATATTTACAGCACGAAGATAAGAGTTTTACTTTGTTTTGTTTTAAAACGTTCTAAATGGTCAAATAGGAAATATTTTTATGAGCAGCAACATTTTACAGGCAATCTTGTTAATACAACTGGTGTTATATGTAAAAAATACATATATTGAATTTGAATATAGCATATATATTATTTTAATGAAATAAGTTAATTTAAGCATGCTTTTAAGTCCTAAATAGTGTCCGAGATAGATAATTGGATTAAATAGAAAACTTATGTAAATATAGTAATCATGTATGTTATGATCCTGTACTCTCAGATAGGAACGAAACTTTCAATTCAGATATTTTCAACAGATTTTGATTGGGGTAGAGCCTCTACAGCAGCTTTTGGTGTTGAACGAATGGGCAGAGAGGTTCATCCGAAGAAGTACCACGGCCACATAGAAAACACAGCTGAGATAACCGTGGCCCACTTTTTAAAAGTTGGCAACGCATCTGCAACTCCACTGGGGTCTTAGCTTGACTAAGTGATCGGTTGCCGCATTTACCCATAAAAAAAAATATGTGTGTACTTTGGTACTGTTATGTACAATTTACAATATGGAGTATTTGCGTAGATCAGCAATTTAGAATTATATAAAAACAGTTTCGATGCCCAAGTACAGCAGTCAACATCAAGCAGTCAACCTCAGTCAATCTCCATACTCGGTCCGATAACCATCATTTTTGTAACGTAGTTGTGTGTCAGAATTAAAGTGTTCCTTACAGCCAATTAAAAGTGTTTTTTTAAAAAGGACCCACAGAGCGCCATCCTTACGTACGTAAGAAGTCATACTTCATTATCGGAAACATACAAAAGAATAACTGAAAATTTTATCCTCTGTACCAGTGCTCTACGTTTGTGTAAACGACATTAAATGCAATTGATAATGTAACTTGTATAATTATATAACTTGGAATTATAGGTAAATGTCAAGTTGTTATTGGTCGCCATGATAACACTGTGAAGTTGGTCGCTTTACAAGCAACTTAATCATGTCGCCTTTTGAATGTCGGTGTGCGCGCGTAAAAATTTAACTCTCATAATTTTTACAAGTGCGTAGTACTATACAGAGGGTATCAGGGCATAGTCCACCACGCGCCCCCACTGCGGATTGGCGGACTTCACATATCTTCGAAATATATTTTTTTTTGTTATTATTTCGAAAATATGCAGGTTTCCTCACGATGTTTTCCTTCACCGCGGAGCACGTGATAAGACAGCACTTAAAGTTAAAAAACTTCATTGGTGCCGGCACCGGGGATCGAACTCAGGTTGCTGTACATTGAATTGAAGGCGAGCGCCCGGTAACTGAGCTATCACGGCTTTTATTTTTCAAAAGTATAACTTCAAAAAAAACCTAAATACCAAACTGCAGCGGTAATAATAGAAAGTCACTTGCCTTATAAAACCGCCGCTCATCACGACTTGAAAGCTTATGTATCACACCGTGTTCGAGGCGAGTACATTTAAAATGCGAACACAAAGTGTGTCAGGGTCGAATTACTATGCTTTATTGACTACAACTATGCGGTATCGGTTGTAAATGCATCGGTCTCGATACTCAAATGAAACAAACGAAATAGTTTAAACGTGTATTTCGCTTTTTATAAAAGTAAAAATAAATTAAAAAATCAAAACAGAGAATTGAGCAAAACGTAAGGTCGAATAAAACGAAGATAATTCAATCAAACGAACAAAAATTACCATCTGTTTTGTATATATTTGTAAAATTAAAAACCGTGAGATGTTTTAAAAGGAAAATGAAAATTTCATTGCTGTATTGACTGATGCTTTAACTACTCCTCCATATAATATCCATTTAAATTATGCAGTACATTATTCTTCGTTACATTAAGTAATCCGACGTCGTAAGCATATTCAAAATTAATTTTGAAGCGACTGTGCCAACTTATTTACAACACCCTTAAATTTAATAAAATCGAAAAACACAATATTACGTCAAAAATCTACAAATTCATACATCTTATAGTTGACATATTAAATAGAGTGCCCGAAAATAAATTAATTTACGAAAAAATTTACAAAACTGGTTCACTATTCCGTGTTTATTCATGAAAATAATTTAGGATTAACAAGGTATTGCAAACGAGGCGTATCGACCTTTAAGAGGCTGTAAATCAAGGTGAGTAATTTTCCGAAAATGAGGCAACTTCAATGCTATGCAATAAATTATTTATCAGATATCTACACAATACAAAAACAACTCAAATAGATTATTTTGTTTTTGAAATTTTGACATTTTGCTACTATTAGACTAATTATTATGTTTATTGGTGCTCTATTTTCTATATAAAATGCATACATATGACAGTCATTAAAAATTATGTAGACTACTATAATATCTATAAAATACCTAGTATTACAACTTTTACTAATTGGTGTTTTAATATGATCTCACAGACAACTAAACATCATGTGTAACCCATAAACTGGTACATAATTGATAATACAAACATGTATTTCATTAAATCACATATTTTTATACACATTTATAAATACGAATACATATTACGGTATGTACATATCATTATTAATGGCACAATGATATGCCGACATATAACTAAGTAGGAATAATATTAGGATGTAAAGTCCCATAGTGCTATTTTAAATGACGTCACATTAAAAATAATTTATCAACAGAGTAACAAATAATAGGAAAAAATTAACTTTGTTTTATAAACACAATAAAATGAGATAAACTTTTTATGTATGGAATATTTGTGATATATCAAAGTCTTTAAGGTTCACTAAGCCCATGTGGCCATTAATCATACAATAATACTCAGCCCCAACTATATATGACAACACCATCATCCCCACAATGCTTCCCAGGGATGTTGATTTTGGTAGCAATATGCCGGTAGCTATCAATAGACCTACATATGTCATGTACCTGAAATTAAACATTAATATTACTTCATCTATTGATAACAGTTTTGTTCTTTGTACGGTTAAAATGTAAATATACTACATAAATATAGACATAAATACAGAAGTAATATTATTTCTATAACATCAAATATTACTATTAAATTAAATAAATGGGATGTTTAATACCTGTAATAATTAATGAAAGATTAACAACAAATATAAAGTATTTTATAGAACAAATAGTGTAAATTCATAATAAATATTTGTTTTAAAGAAACAGATGCCCAAGAAATATATCATCAATACAGTTATTTAAAAGTAAAAATGCCCCAACACCAAAAATATAGTTTTGAATTTACCTATAATAATTCAATGACTTATTACAGCTCCTCTTTTCTGTAAGAAATTCATAAAAGTTAGCAACATATATAAAAGAATTTAAATTAGAAAATAATTTAAATTAGTGAAGTACCTTGTAGTAGTAAGTTTTTCGGTGTGATCCTCATCTTCCCTATCAGCAATACAAAGCTCTCCCTTTTTAGAATAGCCTTTGGCACATTTTCTGCACATATCTGGCCCATCACCATGACAACCGCTGCAAGACTTATCACAGGACATACAGGCATATGAGCCTAAGGAATTGGCACAAAATTGATCCTTGCCGCATTTGTTTATGTCATCGCATTCATTAATATCTAAACAACCTTCATCTACATCAAATGTGTAGCCTGGCTTACATGCCACACAATCTTTTTGGGTTCCTTGACGGCATCCACCTAAACAAGAGCGGTGACACCTTAAGCACAGTAGTTTTGTGCCATCCTGGTGTGACAGGTAGTAACCTGTTTCACAGCGGTCACAGTCCTCTCCAGCATATCCTGGGTCACAAAAGCATGTTCCGTTTCCTTTTCTTGTACCATCTCCCCGACATTTTCCATTCCCATTACAAATATTTGTATGGTCGCCTTGGCAAGGTGTACAATCTTTACCATAATGGTGTGTTGGACAACACACCTGCATTTTTTCTATACAAATATAATTGAATAATTCAGTTGATTCATCTGGATCCTGTGTCCACCACTCTTCAATAAACTCCTCTGCCTTTTCGGCCATGTGATGACATTGGACAGAATATTTCTTTTCCTCCTTACAGATACCTTCTTGAATGTCTATAAGCCGCATTTCACTGCGTTTGTAAGATTTTTTCAACTTTTCCTCTTCCCATGCCGCGTCACCGCCTTCATATTTTCCTCTGGATGTTCTTTCTAAGCCCGCCTTAAAAGATGCTACAAATAACTTACAAGCCTGACAGTCACCTAGATTCTTCGACTGTGTTATTATACTTGGGTTAAGGATCGGAGCTTGTAGGTTGCAAAAAGCCAGTGGTGTTATGACTGATATGAGAAAAATCAAGAAGGGTATCTTACCATTCCCCATCCTGATAATATAAAGGTACCTGGAATTCGGAAATACCGATTTATTAATTTAATTTCTCTATGAAGTTATAAAAATTCAAACAAACTTTACGCTTACACTAATTCAATTTCAAGTTTAAATATCGTCGATTTTAAATCGAAAATTCACAATACGACTTATTAAAACACATTATCACTAAATTTAAATGCAATTTCCTATCGCGAGCATTTATATAAAATGCTTAAAACTTAAAACTGACGTGTTTTTTCGTTACTTGCTCCAATATTTGATATTTAGCTGCACATTGACGTTTAGAGTAGTCAGCTGTGTTCTTGACGCACCGCCATTTTGTTTTCACGTTTCGTTGAACATGAAAACAAATTTCCCAATCCACACAATTTAGCTTTTAAAATATTCCTTTGCTTAATGTGGTTTCACTAGTTATTTATATTTTTCACCAAAAACAAGAGAGATATGTGAGCATTTTATAAATACTATTTATGAATCTTGTTGGATTATTTATTTGGAAGATTATTTAAAAGTTGTTGGAAAAAATCACCAATTCATCTAGATACGAAAAGTTGATAGAAACATTCGAGACATCATCAATGTAATAGCACAGAGTGCTTGTCTGTTTCTTGTTACCATTTGTATTGTGTTCATATACAAAAAAGCAGCAAATATGGCTTTAATATACTATTATAAGAACCGTGATTGCTCAGTGTCCGGGCGCTCGCCTTTAATTCAATATATACTCTAGCAACCTGCGTTCGACCCGGGTGCCGGCACCAATGAACTTTTTAACTTGTAAGTGCTGACTTATGACGTGCTCCGCGGTGAAGGAAAACATCGTGAGGAAAGCTGTATATTTTCGAAATAACAAAAATAATATTTCGAAGATATGTGAAGTCCGCCAATCCGCAGTGGGGCCGCGTGGTGGACTATGCCCTAATATCCTCTGTATAGCAGAGGCCTTTGCCCAACAGTGGGACATGTATAGACTGTTACTTTACTTCTTTATACTATTATAAAATAAACTTGGAAAACTAAAAAGTTTTTGTCTAAAATATTATGTCATTAAAATGTCTAGTCAATATGTTTCTTAATTACAATGAAATGAATGACGTCCTGCCCATTTTCGATGTTGGTTAATACAACTTTTACCAATACGGTCATCTAATGGTTGCATGTTTCGCAAAAGGTCTAGATTCATTTGTCTCCTACACAAAACACCTACGTTAACATACGCGAACATACACGTGGGCCACATAATGAAATCAAAAAATCAATGACCTTATGAAACTTACTCCCAGCCAACTAAAATTAGCAACAAAATTATTTCTAAAAACTGTGTCTAAAAATGTCCTTGCCCTCATTTTTAACTACGTGTATTCGAGCAATCTGAATTCAATTCCGATGCCGGCATCAACGAAATTACACACAACAAAATTAATTGCAATTTGAAATATTGACTTATCACGTGCCCAGCGGTGAAGGAAATAATTATAAGGAAACCTGCATTTTTTCGAAATAATAATGATAATAATTAAAATATTTCGAAGCTATGCGAAGTCCGCCAAACCGTGGTGGATCGCCTGGTGGACTATGCCTACATAGAAATGGAACATAAATAAATTGTTATTTTACTTTACTTTTATGTGAAGCACCCTAATGGATTAAATTTCTTTGTTGTTTGTTCATTGTAATTATACTCTTAAAGATATACGAAACTTTAACCTTTGTTTTTTTTGAAGTTATACTTCTTTTGGCGCGTTGAGGAAAAATGATGACAGTATATTTTTAAGATGCGCGCGCACACCGTCACGAAAAACCGACACCCTGAAGTTAGCTAGACATCTACGTATGTTTGCGTTAGTACTGAAAACTAAATTCACGATATTAATTTTGTGATATTTTTACACTTTATTAAACTAAATAATGCGTATATTAAATATTTCAATGTATTAAATACCTTTTTTCTATTGTTAGTGTCTTTTTTTCTACAAACGTATAATAAGGCGAAAGATAAAATTTTTGAAAAGATTTTTATGTTACGCCAAAGAAGTATAACTTCTAACGGGTGTATATAAGTACACACACACACGCACTTATTTTAAAACTAGTACTAAATATTGACGTGTAGAGATCTTGATAGCCAACTTCTACATGAGTTTCAAAACTAAATACAACTGCAATAGAAAAATTTAATATAACAATGAGAAGTAGAAGCTTATTACAAAAAGAAAATTTGAATACATCTTCAACTTAAACCTGATCCAAGTTAATTACTTTATACGATGAGCGAGTACAAAGAAATACAATTAAATCTTCGTAGTGAAAGCGGGAAGTTGCGTAAGTGTAGGTAAAGTATTCGCGGCCTTTATGCAATGCTTAACGTTAGACGCCTTGTCAATTATAATGTGAATTCTGTCTATGTATGGTGTTATGTACATGTTTTTGTAACATGAATAATATAGGATATAGTATGAGTCTAACAAACGTCAAACTGCTTACAAAGAGGAAAGATACGGTCAGTTGTTCGATATTTAATGTGATCAGACATAACGTACTTTTTAATCTGTCGTGTGTTAACTATATAAAAACGAACCAGCTCAAAAACACAATACATCAATTGCAATATGCAAATAAACCCAAAAAGTAAGGGAACTTTTAATCCTTTCATACTTATTAATGAATGGTTAAATGCATGAATACGTAAAACGAATATAAGTGAAATCAAATGAATGAGAGAAAGATGGAGGGTCCGAAGTACTATTATTCATTATACGCACAAAGGCCCGATACCAATCGTGCGATTGGTATCTCTGGTATTATCGATCATGCGATTTACGCTCCCTTTAAATGTTTTATTATTTTTATTTTATGCAAACTCAATATAAAGATAACTCAATTCCTTTGGCAGACATTAAAATCTGCTGAATTTTTAATCTTTTCTATCTTAAGTTTGCTTACCATCAAACTGTTCACAAAACATAACTTGGCTGGATTTCATTTCAACAAATTAGGTTTTTTCAGACCCAGGATATCTTTACTTTATCTGTGTGCTTTATTAAAACTTTTCACCAAGAAAAATTCAATCACTATCCTGAACTTCCATAACTGTTTAAAAAAAAATAATTTTAAAGTTACTTAAGGAAATAATCAGAAATGAACAACGTATTTATTTTCTTAGCTACAGCTATATAAAACTATTTTACATACATTTGCAATTGGCATTTCGTGAAAAATAAAAGAATAGGCAAAAAAAACTTAAAACAAAATTAGAGAAGAAGCGGAGGCGCCCATTTATGTGAGGCCCAAACCTGTATTGTATAAAAAAATAAACTGTTAATAAAACCAAAAGAAAAACCACCGTGTATCGGAACGGGCGGCGCAAAGCGCGGCTACTTCCAACTGGCATACAACGAGCATAACTTAATATTGGCGCCACTTATTAAAATACGAAGCTATTTCAGTCGTCGCAAATCACCCCGCATTCTGACAGAAAGAGATAGAGAACTTTATCTCTTTGAATATCAGCCATCTGTAAATAGAGAAAACTTAACTGTGTTCGTCCTTTTTAGATGTGAAAATTTCGCAAGCGAGCAGGCGGTTAATCTAATGTTATGTGATCATTGCCTCCTATGGACATTTACAACACCTCAAAGGTTGGAAACGCGTTGCTTTGAAAAAGTGGTTACCTCACTCGCCATACAAAAGTCTGAACTTCACACAGGTAGTCTTCTGTGAGACCGTGCAACAGGAAATGCTGCATGCCACAATGTATTAGTACAAGGGATTGGTCATAGATACATTGGAGATGGTCTAAAAATGTATATATACCTTATTACAAAGAATTGATGTTTTAAAAACAGCAGATTTAAAATATTTAGACAAAAAACTACCCATTACTAATTTTGTTGAATTTTAATATCATAGTAATATGATGGGTCGAAGAAATAGGAATGGTATGTAAATCAGTGACGTGGGTCAAATATTTTAAAAACGGCAGAGTTTTTTTTTGCTTGTCCTTTAAGGCTCTATGTACAAAACGCTTCGTGAACACGCACGTACGACGTACGTCTTTGTCCATCACAAAGTTGACACAAAAATGCGTAATGGCGTAATTGCTTCACACTGGATCGCGGTGCTATTTAAAATTATAGCATCCTTGATGGTGTTGCCAGTGGTTATCCTTTATTATGTTGTATAATAGGCATGCAATTAGATACTTCATTTTAATGGTTGTACCAAATTACGCGAGGTATTATAATGGGTTTGTTGTGATAACTTTTTAAACGAGCAGGCGGTTCACGTTATGTTAACGACCCATACACAACAACTCCTTTGGTGTGGCAGGGCAGATGTCACACCAAAGATGTATCGGCTTCGGCGTTGGGGGTCGTGGGTTCGATTCCCAAACAGACCTTACAACACAGGGTAATGTTATCCTAGAGTAATATATAATTTATAATAATAAAAAAATCCCCGATTCTCACATAGGCACACTTCCACTTCATGC